AGAATGTCCAAGAACATCAGAATTGATTTATGAGCATATGATGTTGAAGTCCCTCTCAAAAGCCAACACTTAACCTCTCTCAGAGGTGTTTGGTTGAGATAAATTGACTAAAAATGGGAAATGAAAATTAGGTTTCTTAGAGGGTTTGCCCTGAAAAACCCTCAGAAAAGCAACATCAATGAAGTCCTTTATGAAAATTTTAACCAATTCCATGAAAAATAAAATACAGTTCTTGACTTATCTTGACCATAGATTCTTTTTTACTTTCTTCATTCCTATTGATAGCATGTAGAGCTCTCTATATAAAGGTAAGTTATATTTAAAAATCAGTTGTGTTAAAATGGTAGAATTAGGGAAGACATCTTTGGTGTGCTATTTGAACAGAGACCTGAAGAAGGTGAGGGAGTTGCCCCTCATAGGTACCTGGCAGAAGAGAGTTTCAAGCTGAGGGAATAACAAGTACCCTGAGCCAGCGAGTTTTTTGAGAAAGGGAGGCTGGTAAACAAAGAAAAGGTGGTCAGAGAAGTCATAGGTTAAAATGTTATGGTTTGAGGGAGGGAGGTTGGAATTGGGGATGGGCAGGTATTGAAGGCCTTGTATGCTATTGTAAGGACTTTGGCTTCTACTGTGAGTGAGGCACATGTGATAATTGTTATGTAATTATGTGACTATGTTACTAAAGTGGTAATTATTATTAAAGCCGTAATTTTACTCATTGAATTTGATTTTGCTCAGCCTAAGCCCTTTCCATAAATAATATTAAAATAAATCATTTAATAGTATTTTTACAAGTTGATACTTTTCAGAGCTACCCAAAATTGTCAGATTGGATAAAACAAAATCCAACCATGATGGCTATTAGGCATCAGGGCTAGCACTTTAAATATAAACACATAAATAGGTTATGAATAAAATGATGGAAAATGATGTATTATGATAACACTAATCAAAAGAAAGCTTGTGCAACTATATTAATATCAGGCAAAACAGGTTTCAAAGCAAAAAATATAACCAAGGGATAGTGAGGGTTATTTTTTAATGATAAAGTGATTAAATCATCAAAAGAACATAATACTAAACTTTTACATATCTAATAACAGTTTCAAAGTACAAAAAGTAAAAGTTGATAGAACTGTGAGAAGAAATAGATATATCCACAACTAAGTTGGAGATTTCAAAATACCTCTCTCAATAATTGACAGAATAAGTAGACAGAAAATCAATAAGGATAGAGAAGACTTGAACAACATTATAAGTGAAATTAACATATTTATAGAACATTATAGCCAATAACAGCAGAATATACATTCTTTTCACGTGCACATAGAATTTTACCAAAGTAGATCTACACATACACATAGATCAAACTAGTCTCAAATAATCTAAATGTATTTAAACTGCACAAAGTGTGCTCTCTGACCACAATAGAACTAAGTTAGAAATGAATCCCAAAAAGATTTGTAGAAACTCTTCTAATATTTGGAAATTAAATACCTACTTTAAATAACCCATAGATCAAAGAAGATATCAAAAAGAAAATATGAAATTAACTTAGCTAAACATGAGTAAAAATCAAACCACAACACATAAAAATTGAGAGATTCTGTGAAGAATTAAAGTCAATGTAAATGGATAGCAGAAACTTAATGGACAGTCCTAATTGCAATGTATTCAACCCACGTTTTAAAAAGTTCTCTAAAGTTGGTAGGCAAGGTAATGTTGCTAATGGAGTAGGTGAGGCAAGAAATTATTTTTTTAAGGATGGTGTAGTCAAAATGATTAGATCTCCAGGAAACTGTTCGAACTCAATCTTGATCTCTTGAACATTAATCAGATTTTACATTTCATCCCAAAAGCCTATTCAAAGATTACTTGAGATTGAGAGTCAAAAAACTAAAGACATGGATGAGATTGCTTATTTATTTTTCTCCTATGTTTATATAATATAAGTAGTAAACCTAATGCACAAAATTTAAATAATGATATAAACCCAGGTTCGAGTTTAGGAAGAAATTAGACTCAAGGAATGGCAAATATTTAGTAGTACACCCACTATTCTTGAAGTTGATGTAACAAACTCTAGAAAGACATATTTTATTTGTCTTTAATGATACTGAGGTTTTAATTCTAATATAATTTCTGGTAACCTACCTTTCCAATGAGCTTCAGTTTATTACTATCTACTCATCCATGAATTGAGAAACTTGTTATACCCAGGGTTATTAACATACTAATAAGTTTTAATGTTTTGTTTACTCCAGTCAAAACAATTAGAAGAGTTACTTACTTTTATTCTGGATAAATTAGATTTTAATTCAGGGTGAGTTATTCTCAGACCCATAAACCTCTAAATTTAAACCAAATTTTTCTGCAGAAAAGATGAAGGAACATAAAAGATACATTGAGAAGAATGGCTGCCTAAATTGTTATTTATCTTGAACACTTCTTTCCAAGGAACACAGTGCATTAAAACAAAACAAAATGGCATCAGTTTATTAATTCATTTATTTTATTCTAAATAGTTGCTAATACATGTGAATGAAGACAGTCATTAATAGGCTATAGGTAAAACTCAGCTGAAATGATATATTTTTATATGCTTTCTCCAGTATCTGTTCTGTGTATTCAAATAACAAATTACAGAGTTGGGTTCTTAACTATGAGTACATTTTTACATTCTAATAAATACATTAGGTCATGAACATTTTTCAGTGTCATTAAATATTCTTCAAATACCAGTTTATGTTGTTATGTAATTTTGTATTGTATTGCTATACCATGATTTAATTAGCTAATTTCTATTATTAGCTAATTTTTATTTTCTCTATTCTATAAATTCTATTATGCTTCAAATTTCTTAATTTAATAAATAATTTTAAATGAGCAAGCCATATAATCTCTTGATTATTACCTTAATTTATATTTCAAGAAAATGAATTAATAAAATGGCTTGAATACTTTTAAAGCTTTGGCATATTTCATCAAATTGCTTTATAGGAATATTGTACCAGTATACACTCCTACCAAAATTTTGTCCATGTTGCACAGTTACCAACATTTTAGCATTATTATTCCTCATTCTGCTATTCTGATGGGTAAAAACATATCTTAGTTTTGAAATTTACATAACTACTAAGGATGATCCTATCTTACATGTTTCAATAAGCTTAAATAATATACCATTGTGTTAACATTATTAATTCATTTTCTTATTTGTAGGAAACTATTATATTCAAACTTTAATAAAGTAAAAATCTGATTATCTACTACACTCTTAATTTTTAATTAATTTGGACATATGCATACATTCCTGGCAACAACTCTTTTGGAGTTTTTGAATTCAAAGTTAATTTTAAGAATCCTAATGAAATAATAGTGTAATTTGAAATAGTTATAATGTAAATTTTTTTCAAACAACTATTTTAAAATAACAAATATTGCATGCAATAGAAAAGGGTCATGCAAGCATATTTGTTGACTATGTTTAGGTAATGAAAATAGAAGGCAGATAATATTAGGAAAATATTTGACAGGGAATAGACAATATTTACTAAGCATAATTTTAAATTATTTCATTGAAAATTGATACTTTATGAAGTGTTATTATAAAGGATAATGTCCAAGATGAAATAATTATACTGTGTTAAAGAGATCTCTTTTTAAAGTTCTTTCTACTTTTAAAATCAACATATTATTAATCAGTAGGGAGGACATTGGAACACTTTTGCTACAAGGTAGTAGTACTAGCCAAATACATTAGGATAAAATCCAAACACACTAGCTTTGACGATTTTAATTTCCCCTATTCTAGACCTGGTTGACAGATGTAAATGCTTGGGTGGATAACAGAGTGTTACAGTACATGAAACACAAATTTTCTACACCATAATAAATTAACACAGTTTTTTCTAGACTGTTAATAAAGCATTCAAAATGAATTACTTCAGTAAATGACAATTCTGCAAGTTTTTTGTAGCCAACATTACTGTGGTATCATCTCTGTACACCAGCTGAAATAACAGACTTATTCAGAAATCATCAGTAAGCTGTCTACCTCTTGAGGCACATTAGCACCTGCAGGAAATAGGAAATATTATAGAAAAACAAATCACTATAAGATAGCCTGAGTTTATTACTTGGCTCCAACACTTACTATGTGACCTGGGGCGGGACCTTAAGCTTACCATACCTCTATTTCCTCATTGTCAAATGGGGATATTAATACTAACTTTTAGGGCTGTAGTAAGCATAAAATTGGTTAATATATGGAGAGCATATAGTAAGTGTTGCACAAAACTTCATGTTGTTTTGTTATTTGTTCCAAATGGTAATTTTTACTATACTCATTAAACAGACTTTGTGATGATGTATATTTCTCCAAATGGAGTGTAAGTTGATTTACAAAATGGCAGATAACTACAAAAGACTATTTAAAAACACCTTTTAACAAAAAATTATTTCTTCCTGGACATGAGCCTCCACTGTAATACTTGATTCGGTAAAGGGGCAAATGTACTGTCAAATCTGGATCTGGAACACTAGTTCAGTTTGCATTGCCAGGACTTGGGGACACTGGGACTCTGGAGTTAGACTGGCATGCTCAGTGTGTCCGAAGCCCACTTTGAGAGGTGGGTCATTACTAGAAGTGCTGACCCAAACTGATACGCCATTTATTAGATAAATTTTCATATTTTAAACTTTTTATTTTGAGTAGATCTTTCCAACAAAAGTTGTTCAAGGAAGCTTTTTTGTGTGTGATGGATGGATATTATGTCAAAAGCTGAAACAGACCTCACAATGTATAGTGGAAATTTTTTTTTTCCTAGACACCATTTCAAAGCATTTGGAAACTGCCTAATTATCTCATTGAAAATGACTTCTGCATAATAATTTTTAATAGATTTCTTTATTTTTCCATTTTACAAAGTTTTAAAATGTGTGTGTGTGTGTGTGTGTGTGTGTGTGTGTGTGTGTGTGTGTGCATTTTTTTTCTCTTTTAGAGCTGGGTAGAGAGAGCTGAAAAACAGGCTCTTCTCTCTGATACACTTGACCTATCAGAACTCTTCCACCCAGACACATTTCTCAATGCTCTTCGCCAGGAAACTGCAAGGTAATTAAAATGAAATACTTTATTCATTTGCCCATGAGGGCAATTACACTTTACTTTATTCACTACTGATCGCATTCCCTTAACTGTCAAGAAATAATTTTATTGTTGAATCCAGATAGTTGTATTATTTCTTAATACTTGACTTTTAACAACAGTTTACTTTTAGTTTAAAAGATATTATTTTTAATTATGGTATGTATATTTATTAGAATTAAAAAAGGTAAAATTTAATTTGTAAAGTTTTTATCATTTATTTATTTAGACCTTTTGTGCCCAGGATGGTAGGCAGAAGTCAAATGGAGCTAATTAAATGTAAATGAATTAAGTAAAATTAAAAATGTAATTTCTTAGTCATACTGGCCACATTTAAAGTGCTCAAATAGCCACATATGGCTAGTGGTTACCATTTTGGACTGCATGAGAACATTTTTATCTTTGCAGAAAATTTTGTTTGACAGTGCTAATTAGGCTTCTTGGTAGGGAACAGTATTTGATAGTTAAGATAAAGTTCTTTTTTATAACAAATTTGGATTATCATATCATATAGTCTATAATTTTTAACAAGATAAAATGGAAAAAAAGAGACATTTCCAAAAATATGCTGGACAAAATTTAGTTGTTTAGTGATTCAGGGGGATTTCAATTTGTAGTACCTCAAGATATATTATAAATATTAATATTTCAGGGCCAGCTGAGTGGCTCAGTTGGTTAAGAGCTCGCTCAAGAGTGCGAGCTCTGAGCAACAGCAGTTCAAGTCCCGGCCCGAGCTGAGCTGCTGCTGAGCTGCCAAGAGGTGGCAGGATGGCTCAGTTAAAAAAAATAAAAAAATAAAAATAAATAAATATTAATATTTCAGTTCAGCTAATAAACATTAATTGAACATCCATCATATGCCTGAATTTGAGGATTATGGTCAAAATGGAGGATGTAAAAATGAAAAAGAAAGGCCCTATCCTCAACGAACTTACCCAGCCTTGAAGAGGAAACTGACGTAACCAGTTAACTTTAAAAACTTAGTCTAAAGTCTAAGGTATTATACATAGCTTAAGAGATCTTATAACTTGCACATTGTAAATATTTTAATTTTAAATAAATAGGAATATATCTATCTTCTCTTACTCTTCATATTTTACTTCCTGAGATTTCTTTCTTTCTGACATTTGATGCTTTACTTTTACAGGGCATCGAGCTGTTCTGTGGATAGCCTTAAATTTGTAGCTTCATGGAAAGGTCGACTGCAAGAAGCAAAGCTGCAGATTAAGGTATTAGACTAATTTTATTTTATTTTATTTTATTCATTTATTTGTTTTTATTGTGAAATAAACATTTTTTTAAATTAGTTTCAGCTGTACAACACAGAGCAATAGTTACACTTTTTACTCCTCAAAGTGACAACCCCTCTCCCCCAATCTGCTGCCCCACTTCCCGTATAATACATATCTTAGACTAATTTTAAATGTTTATCTGAGTCTAAAAATTATATTATTACCAACTGTGATGAAAAGATTCTGTTAACTTCAATCTCAGTCACCTATCTTTACATTGTAAGATCTGCAGAGATAGATTGTATTACCTATGAAAAGTCAAGGTAAGTTAAGATTTCGCATGGAACAACGTGTATGAAATACAACCTTCTCTACTGCAAAAAAAAAAAAAAAGAATCTTAGAAATACAGCATATTTGAAAATGTAACTTTTGGTTAAAAATGATACAAATTTTGAAATTATGTTAGATTACCTCTTCTAGTAAATATTTACAATAAAATATTTATAAAATGTAATATATGACAAGAGACCAAATCTTGTCCTCAGGGGGTTTACAGCTTTGTGAGTACATTAATTCACTGTTAAAATCAAGCCATCTATGACCAAAAAAAAAAAAATCAAGCCATATTTTGCAGTGTAAATATTCCTATCTAGCTTTCTTGTTAAAAATCCATTACTTTGGGCCGGCCGAGTGGCGCGATGGTTAAGAACTGGCTTGGGACGCCAGAGGGCCCCGGTTCGGATCCCACATATGAGGGCCAGTGACACTGCCCTCCACAGCTAAGATGCTGAACAACAGCTCAACCTGGAGCTGGGCTGCCGTGAGTAGCCGGCGACGGCGTAGGCTGCAGCCCCTGTGGCAGTGGGTTGCCATGGGCTACTGTATGTAGCCAGCACCCAGCGTGAGCGGCCAGCAGCCACAGTGAGCGGCCGTCCAGAAGCCGGCGACTGATCTGCCTCGCCCGGGAAGAGCGCAATGATGGTGCCAACTTGGGCCAGTGAAGCAACGTCCCCCACAACTAGACTGAAGAACAAAACGACAGCAACTTGTCTGTTCCCCTTCCCCCAATTCCCCAGCACTGTTCCCATCCCCCCAATTCCTCAAAAAAATCTTTAAAAAAAATCCATTACTTTTATAATAACAGATACTAATAACCAGGCAAGTGTTGATAACAAAGCTAATTGAAAGGCTGTAATGGAAATCCTTCATCCCAAAACTCCAGACTTCTTCCACATGAGTAGCATTCTCCTCTACCATTCTTCTTTCCCATTCCCACACATAGAATTGTCCTCTTAACATTTTTCCCGCTGCTAATGTAACACCTTGCGTGTTGTAGTATGATTACTCAATACATCCATATTAGTCTGTCTTTGAGACTATAATGTCATTGAAGACAAAGACTTTTATCTATCTTCAGATCCTCGGTATCTAGTCCTTTGTATCACATATAATTCAATTTTTTAAATAAATTAGATGTAAGACTATAGTTCTTTAACTTAGTTAACCTTAGATAACTAGCTTTTCAGAAGTTCTATTTATATAGTTCTAGTTCCCAGTTCAACAGCTTTCTTTTCATATCACTATTACTGTCTGACATACTATATAATTTATTTATTGTTTGTTGCTTGCTGTCTGTTTTACTCCACTAGAATATAAGTCCCATGAGAGTAGTCATTTTTTTCCAGTTTCATTGTATGCCATATATCTCAAACAATAGCACATAATAATCACTCACTTAAACCCTTGTTGAATTGTTGACTCAAGGGCCTACAATGGGAGAGAGGCACCATATTAGGTATTAATTAGCATCAGCTACCATGGTATAATGTGCCAGAAATTTGATCATTAACAATAAGCTATATCTTTCTCTTTTGAATATAGATTGCTACAAAATTCTTCCTTGAAGCTGAAGGAATTAGAAAGGCTGTCTTTCATATCTTTGCATCTTATTTTAACCTTAGACTCTAGCCCATAAGGAGAACTCCCTTAGCTATTAGTGGTGGTCATACTCTGTTGCCAGTTGTTAAGGAGAGGGGGGGGCACATATGACAAATAATCCAGGAACCATGTACTTTACCTGGTTTTGTGGTCTCTGGCGGCTGTGAACCACACACATAATATATAGTATCATTATGCAGATATAATGGTATAAAAAGCAAGGGAAAGGAGTTTTATTCTGTGTCAAGGTGTGTTAATATTCCTAGTACTATATTGCCCCTGTTTTTACAAATTGGGAATAAAATTATCTACAACCTGAAAATCTTAAGCTTATGCATTCTGTTTTGTAGATGGTGAAAAAAGACTGATAGTAAAACAAGATTCTAATCTTAGGTCTCCAAAAAAGAGCCATGTGACTTTTTTAAGCAATTAATGGAGCAGTTTAAGCCTTTGTTGTCTCGTTTATCAGTGGATTTCAATAAATTCCTTGACACATTTATTATGAGGATCTCTGAAAAGCTGTGTGTATGTGTGTAATTTTTATTATTTCTCTTAATTCAATTTGGATTAGGTTTTATTAGGCAATATTTATTTTTTAATTAGAAGCAAGTGTTTTAATATAAAGTTTTATACTTTTAGCCGGTAAAGCAGAATTCTTCCATTTTTCATTTAGCATTCACAAAAGATATTTTATTGTTAAAAACTAAAATATTCACTGGTAAATATACAGGTATTTAGGAACATTATAAGTTTAATATACAAACGACTTTAAATTAAGAAGCCATCCCTACACATGACATTTAAGGTAATCCAGTAGAACTTTTCATCTCTGGCTCCTCATTCATGTGATCTAAATAAGCAGTTTCTAACTTCCTTACCTGCAGTTTCTGGGAATATTGTCAGATAAAAAGTCTTTGTAAGCCCCCGCTGTTTGCAGTTGGCAAAATCAGTAAGTAAAGCAATACACTTAGGTTCCTATTAATCATATTTTCAACAAAAGTATTATTTCAAAAGGAAAACTTTGGATTTGAATTATATTTGAATTTTACTGTCACTCTAGAATTTTTCAATATCTATCACCCCAGACTGAATTAAACCAGTGAAAGGTTCAAGTAGGGCTGTTTTCCTCAAACCAACCAATATCTCAAACCCACTAGACCTACTTAAGAGACATGCATATGTTGATTTTTAGATCCAGAACATGGCACCTCTGAAGTTTCCTTATGACCTTTATTGATTTATTATTTGTTAAACAGAAGTTGTGAAACTTGGTGCTGGGAAATGTACAAATCAACCTCCTGTTCAGCTTGCAGGTTAGATCTTGCCCAAGGCTGTGAGGGGCTGCCCTAGCATATCTGGGGAGCTCCCAGCTCCCTCCTTTACTACTGATGCCATCACACACTAAAGGCAAAACGTGTCTTCTACGTTGGCAAATCAGGCTTAGTAAACGTATTCTAGGCTTGTTAATAACACACAGTTCCCTAGGATACCTGGAAGCTGCTGCTCCTTTGGGACCTGGAAGCATCGTATAGCCACTTAGCTGCCAGTTGACCTTAGCTGGATCGTGCCAGGCTAACCTGCCCATGTACTGAGTGGCTATTATACTGTTCATATTTCAGTTCCCTTCCTCATAGAGCTTCTCAGGAAATGGAAGTTAAAAGAATGAAGCAATTATATACTTAGACATTTGAGGTTTCTTAAGGAGAATGTGCTCATCAGAATTAGGTGTTAGCTACATACTCTCTGAATGAGTGTGAGCTGCCAGTTGTAGCTTATCAACCCAGCAGGGAAAATTTACCAGAAATGCATATATACATACATACATACATACAACCCAAAAAACAAAACTTAAAACAAAACACTTAAACTATTGAGATTAAGTCATGAAACGGAAACTTAAGAATCTAAACCTACCAAGTATTGGCAAAGCTGTGGCATAATGTAAATTCTTATAAGTGACAAGTAGGCATACAGAATGCAGAATTACTTTGAGAAATAATTTGCCAATATTATGGAAGCTGAGACTATGGTTCTATCTAGCAATTTCATCTCTATAGCTAGAGAAAATCATGCAGAGGTGTAAAAGAGACACAATGTTTATTGCATTGGTTTTTTGTTGTTGTTGTTGTTTTAAGATTTTTATTGGGAAATTGGGGGAAGGGGAACAGACAAGTTGCTATCCTTTTGTTCTTCAGCCTAGTTGTGGAGGACGTTGCTTCACTGGCCCAAGTTGGCACCATCATTGCGCTCTTCCCGGGCGAAGCAGATCAGTCGCCAGCTTCTGGACGGCCACTCAGGGCGGCTGCTGGCCACTCATGCTGGCTGCTGGCTACACACGGTAGCCCATGGCAATCCACTGCAGCAGGGGCTGCAGCCCACGCTGTCTCCGTGACTCAAGGCAGCCCAGCTACAGGTCGAGCTGTTGTTCAGCATCTTAGCTGTAGAGGGCAGTGTCACTGGCCCTCACATGTGGGATCGAAACCGGGGCCCTCTGGCGTCCCAAGCCAGCTCTTAACCAACGCGCCACTCGGCCGGCCCTGTAGTGTTATAATTGTAATTACATGACTTAAATGTTCATTAGCAGAAGAATGGATAAATAATTTGTTGTATGTTAATACAGCAAAATATTGCAGCTGTTAAAAATAAAATAACAGAATGGATGCCCTTAGATCCAATGATGAAGGAAAAGAGTAGGTTGAAAATGGTACAATAAAGTATGTTACCCTTTATATACAGTTTGGAAATGTGACAACCAATGCTATTTATTGTTTATGGGTACATACATACTTAACAATCATGGAAAACTAAATTCAGGATAATGACTAGGTCAGGTGAGAGCAGAGGAGGAACAGGAAAGGCAAGGTATATACAGAGGACTTCAGCTATACCTGTAGGGTTTATTTAGAAATATGGAACAAACGTGGCTGTATGTTCAAGTCTAGTAAAAATAAGTGGGAAGAACGTATAAGTTTAAAAATGGTTTTATGATTTCCTGTGTGTTTGAAATATTTTTTAACTTTTAAAAGGAGGGTTCTGGCAAATAAAGCAATATGATAATTTATGAAAATAAAACTCAGAGTTTAACATGAACTTCACTGTTAAATCTAAGTTAAATTCATGTTAAAGTCAGAAGTATGCAAGAAATTCAACATCATGTCTAAAATAAATTAATGGCTTTAATTATGTTTTCAGTGAACAAAGTCACTACTCTTATCTTTACTAACCCCTTTTGGGGTGGGAAGCTAGGAGTTGAATAAGATCTTATACTTATGAACAGCTCTTTCAAAATAGATGGAGTCATGGTAGTTAGCTATTTGGAATATACTTATGCAATCACGGTCAGCCTGATCTACACTAGACCTTTAAATTGCGGTTTTGAAACTGTAAACAAAACCAAAATTTTTTTTTAATTTTCAGATGTTTTAGTTGGAGGTTCAAGTGTGACTAACATTATTTGAGTACAGATTTTTTTCTTTTTGATTTAATGATCTTATTCTATTTTTGTCTTGTTAAATTGAAAGCTATGCATTTATAAGCAAAAGAAGAATAATTAGAGAAAAGTATATTATGACAAGAGGTGCACTTTTTAGATGCCTTTCATTTAATTATTTGCATTTGACTCAAATAGTATATTTGTTCAGATGTCAAGAGGCAGCCTGAATGTGGTTTTTTTAATATGATATAAACAGATGAGCTCTGATCTCAATAATTATTTCTTTGCATCTAAGGGATATGTGTCATGTACAATAAGACAGTAATAGCTAACACAGACTTCTAACAAACTTTTAGTAAAAAGTATGAAGTATGCCCTATAAGTGTATATATATGTAAGTGGAAGTAGCATTTTTAAATGGTTTATCATTTAATGGTGAAAAAGAAAGTGAAAGTACAGCATTGATAAAATTAGAAAGCATGCTCTACCACATCACCTAGTTCTGTGATACGTAAATGAAGTGATAGAATAGACTCAATTATCTAGAATATGTAAAATTTGGAAAATTTTGCATATTAAATATTATAGGCAAACGTTCTTTCGACTGGAATTATTCACATAATTTCCACTCAAACATTTATTTTGCCTCACTTAAATGGATACATTATACGAAATAATTCTAAATGTCTAGAAATTAGAAGATGGATTATAGTAAATGAACAATGATAGCTGATACTTACTGAGCATTTACTATATATCAGGCAATTTTCCAAGTATTATAAATATTTTGTTAGAGGGGAATTCTTATTTCTCACTCCTGTTGTTTTCTCCTATGTGGAGGGAAATTGACTAATGTGGATACTTGTAGATGATCTCTACCTTCTACCTCTTCTACCTTCTGCCTTCCCAGGAAAGGAGCCACTTTATCTGACTATGAGCTTGGGTCAGGAACCCGTCTGAGTAGTGCGCTTCCATTATGCTTTCCTCTTGGGTCTGCCATTCTGCTCTGCATCTTCAGGGTAGCCTGCCCTTGGCACAGCTGGCTCTTTCACTTAGTCCTGTTGTAACTACAAGTCAAACCTGCCAAATTCTTGAGTTTAGTATTAGGAAGTCCATTTGCCTGGAGACCTGTTATATCCTCCAAAATTTTTTTTTCCAGTAATGTAATATTTTGGGACTTTCTTCTTTTACTCCTTTTTTTAATGTAAAGCTCCAGTTGAAAAAACGGTACCATTTGTTGATACCACTCCAATCCCTGATATATTACTATTTTAGTATATAAATAATTGGGTATTGCTTTTTGTCATTCTTATTGTTTGCATTTTATTTTCAGGAACAAGAATGCCTTTACTTTAAATTCTGCAAATTTACCTCAATTCCAAAATAGGGTAGTGATAGAATATATATAGAGAAAAGGACAGATTTAGAAGATGTTTATTAGAAGTGACAGGACCTGGTAGTTGATGGCATGTGGGAAGTTTGGGAAAAGGAGCCAAGAGTGTTACCCAGGTGTCTGATTAAGCAACTGCATGGTCAATAGTGTCAATTACTCAAATAAGGCTCCAGAGAATAGTATCTCTGACCCCACCCACCTCCTGGTTGAAGAGGGAAGTGATGAGTTTATACCTCATATATGCATATTACATAGTCAAGTTGTGACACTATCAATAGGGACTACCTTCATAAATTTCTACATAGACTAATTGAGCTTAAAACTTAATAAAATTTCTAGAAGAGGCCTTAAAATAATTATCTTACCTAGAGGGTTTCTAGCACTGAAATTAGCAAGTCCTGTCTAAATTTTAATTTACATTTTTTCAAGGTCAAAATACTTTAGCAAATCTTGAAGCAGCCTGTATATCATCACATCCGTGGTTTAGTAGAAAGAATATTGAATTTAGGGATTGAATAATTCTATTTTTTACCCCAGCTCTTTATCAAAAAATTGCTTTATCTTTTCCATGCTATAGCAACCTTTATGTAAAATTTGCTACTCAAAACTGTTTGTCAAGGTGTACACTTTGAGTTACCTCCTCCAACCTGAACCATTTCCAAACTATAATATAGCTGAAAATCATTTTAACTCTTCCATCTTAAAGTGTTATCTTGAATCTAAATTCTATATACTTTCACTTAGTATGTTAAAACTCAGGTACTATGTAATATTTATTAAGATTGTTTATATTATCTATCAAGTTCAAATTATGAGAATGTAGATGTGGCTCTGAATACAAATACTGACTCTACATTTGTTGCCTGTAGATAAACTCAGGGTAGATTAACACTGTAGAAACTAAAAGAATGAAAATGTATGAAACTATGTTACCAAAATAATTATATTTACATAATTTCTTAAATATATGTTTAAGAAACATACATTTATACTAAGGTTAGTTAGAGAAAGAGATTAACTCTTTCTCCCTTTTTATTCTTTTTTAGCTCTGTATGGCATGTCAAATTTTTTGCATTAAATTCTCTAAACTTTTTTCAGTTCTTTAAAAAATGATGTCAAAATTCCAATCAGGGAATACATGTTCTTGTTCTATAATTATATTTTTCTTTCCCCCTTCTGGAGAATGAATAACTTTTTGGCTTTTACCATTATATTTCTGTTACTCTAATGCCAAGACACCTGCAATTATATAACTGATGACATTTGTGTTTTTTACTACAATTATTGCTAAAACTGAGAATAATTCTAAAGGAAATTCACAGTGAACACTAGTCTAGGTTTCCACCTTCTTTATTGTCATATAAAATACCATCATCTTTGTTTTCATATTATTTGGAATACACAGTCACAATGGAAAGTATTGACTTTGTTCTTAAGATATAATACAGTACCTCCTGACACTTCAGACTTTAATACAGATTTTAATGGTTTATGTGTTTCCATGGCAGATCAGTGGCTTATTACTGGAAGGATGCAGTTTTGATGGAAATCGACTTTCTGAAAATCAGCATGATTCTCCTAGTGTATCATCAGTTCTCCCTTGTTTTATGGGCTGGATTCCACAGGTAATGTATTTTTTCTTTCTTTTTTTTTTGGGGGGGGGGGTAATGTATTTTTAACAGGTACAAGTTTTAATTTAAACAGTTCATTCTTAGATTTTATCTTTTCAATCAGATATTCTTGACCTAAGCATTTTTGTTTACTTTCTAATCTTACATGTATTTAAACAAGTTTACAGTCAAAATACTGTGTACTTTTCATTTTTAAGGTGAAACTGACTCTGGGTGGTGAGCACACAATGTGATGTATAGATGGTGTATTACAGAACTGTATACATGAAATGTGTAATTTTAGTAACTATTGTCACTCCAATAAATTTTAATTAAAAAAATGTGTAGGACATTTTTAAATCTCAATTTGTTATGGAAAGAATAACATTATAGTTTTTAATTTCTATTTAATTTGTAGCCTAATAAAAAACAAGCCTCTAATGAAAATGTTCCTTTTATACAATGACTACATTCCTATTATTCTCAGCAATGTGCTAAATGCTTTATATACTTTACCTCATATACTCTTCAGAGCAGCCCTGCAAGCTGGCTATCATTGTTCCCTTTTTTTTTTTTTTTTGGCTGAGCCATCCTGCTGCCTGTTGGCAGCTCAGTGGCAGCTCATCTCGGGTGGGCATCAAACCGCTGTTGCTCAGAGCTCACACTCTTGAGCAAGCTCTTAACCAACTGAGCCACTCGGCTGGCCCTCACTGTTCCCATTTTCAAATGAGGAAATGTGTGCTCATAAGTTAGATGACTTCCCCATAGTCAGACATGCAGAAATTGACAGTATCCAGATGTTAATACGCATCTGGCTTTATATCATACCATGTCACTAGGCTGCTGATAGGCAGGTGAATGAAAACAGTCTTGACAAAGAATTATTTGGTTAATTTTTCCCCTTTTGAAACATTCAATTATGAAAGAACTTTCAACAATGGAACTTGAGGGATATTTGCCTTTAAACTAGAACATAGATGTAGGTGAAGCACATAACTTTTACTTAATATAATCTTAAAATATAAGTATGAATATGTGAATGAACTTTAAAGTTTTGATCCTAGATTTAATGACCAACAAAACTTTCATATATTGCTTTTACTAAAAGAAAATGAGTTTTCTCAATGGGAAATAGTACCTTGAATTTTCCAGTTATTGTAGTTCTCTATAAAATAAAAATCAAGAGCATCAGAATATTTTTAAATACACAACTAATAAAATTAGCAATAATTAGAAGTCATTACTCAGAGAGCTAAAAGGGCATCCCCTAACTTAAAAGAGCATACAGTTCCATGAAATCCCCCATTTTCCCCTCTATCAGCTTCATTTTCTCTAGTATTAGAAAGATATACTAGATAGAGAAGGGAGAAGTGTAAATAATCTATATTTGATTTCACTCTGGCTATTAATTCCTTTAAGAAATTTTTATCAAAAAGTTGGTAAATTATGGATGGTAAACATTAGGTATGTGAGCCAAATTGAAAGTGAAATACAAAAGTTAAGGCTGGAATTTGCCAAGGGTTGTAAATGAATCTAAATTACATGAAGTTTAATTTTCTGGCAAACAAAATTAAGAGCTATATAATGACCATAATAGAGAAAAATAGTAGGATATATGTAAAGTGGTTCACTTAAGGAGAAAGTCCAGCAGTAAAAATAGAACATGAAGAATAACTGAGTAGGCATAAATGCAGAAGAAAATGACCTAGAGCAATACCCACATAACTGACCACAAACTGCATGCAAATCAGGAATATAACATTAGGGAACAAAGCCAGTCTGTTAGTGGGTTGTATGAAAAGCAACATGACATTACAAGATATTTATCCCTTCACAGTATTTTACTTCGTGTATCATTTCTATCCAATTTTATTACCACACTTTAAAAAGTTAGGAATAGAAAGCTAAAAATAATTTAATTTGAAATATACGGTAGATCATGTAAAAAGAGGTAAAATGAATTGGTGGAGTATTTAGCCTATAAAAGAGATGGCTAGAAGATAATCTGAATTTTTTATTGTTTTTATAAAAGGGATTTCCCCCTAGGCTTTTGTATTTTTTCATGACATGTAATGGAAGGATTTATGGTGCTTCCACACTCCCTTTTTTCCTGTTTTACGGTGAGCCTCTTCTTTCCAAATAATCTTACTACTTTCAGACTGTCTCTCCTACCTTAACTAAGGAGAGAATATGAGGCGTAGTGTTGCAGAACACAAAATTTCGGAGCCCAGCAGACTAAATTCCATTCCCAGCTCCCAAACTTAATGAGCTGGGTGACTTGGAGCAAGTAACCTTACATCACTGAGCCAGTTTCCTCATTTGAAGGCAAAGATAATGATGTTTCTGTAGGACCATGTTGAAGAATAAATAAGTTCCTGTGTGTGTGAAGTACCCAGCACGGTGCCTCACACATGGTTAAGTCTAATTTATCCTGATGCCAATATTTTAAAATGTTTTTTTTTATAATAGTATGATTATTTTATATAGTGCTTCATAGTTTACTAAGGGCTTTCAACATCATTAAATACTTGCTAAGTTTCTATATACCATATATTCTGCTGAACACTGGGGTTACAAAGATAAACAAATGTCTTCCATCTGGTAACCTAAAAATAAAAAAGTCTTTCAAAGTCAGAGGCAACCAGTGTTTATTTGAGATCAGTAACGATAGCTATTTGGGATGCACTGCAGACAGAAGCCCACATTGTTCCAATTTAGGAGACAAAGGCAAGGGGTATTTATGAGAGGAGGAAGGGGAACAATGACTGTATTTTGCCGTGTATAATGTGCACTTTTTTGCGCAAATTTGTGAGGGGAAAAATAAGGAGATGCATTGTACGTATGGGTTATACTAATTCCCATAATAAAACATATATATATATATATATGTTTTGAATTCTTTTTTTTCCATTTTTTATTAGTTTCAGGTGTACAAAACAGTGCAATAGTTATACTTTTTACCCCTCACAAAGTGACAACCCCCCTTCCCCAATCCACTGCCCCACTCCCCCCACCACATTATACATATCTGTTACAATTCCGTTGACTCCACTCCACTCCCCAGACTATACTCCACATCACATGAATATATGTGTGTGTGTGTGTGTATACACACACACACACACACATACATATATATATATATATATATATATATATATATATATATATAAAAGTATAGTTGATATACAATATTATTCAATGTCAGCTTCAGGTGTACAGTGCAGTGGTCAAGCCTCTACGCCATCCATGAAATGGTCCCTCTAACAAGACATGTGACCATCTGACACCCTACAAAATATTTACAACATCATTAATTATATTCCTCGAACTGTCTTTCATATCCCTGTGGCAGTATTGTAGTTACCAATTTATTCTGTCTAACCCCTTCCCCTTCTCCCTCATCCCCAACCCCCTCCCATCTAGCAACCATCAGTTTTTCCTCTGTGTCTCTGAGACTATTTCAGCTTATATTTCTCATTTATTCAGTTTTTTAGATTCCACGTATAAGTGAGATCATATGGTATTTGTCTTTCTCTGACTGACTTATTTCACTTAGCATAATGTTCTCTAGGTCCATCCATATCGTATGGTAAGATTTTCTTCTTCTTTATAGCTGAGTAATACTCCATTGTATAAATGTTCCACAGTTGCTTAATCCAGTCATCTACCAATGGGCATTTCAGTTGTTTCCAAGTCTTGGCTATTGTGAATAGCGCTGCAATAAACATACGGGTGCATCTATTTTTTTGAAATAGTGTCTTGGGATTTTCTGGATAAATACTTGAGTGGAATTGCTGAGTCATAAGGTAGTTCCATTTTCAGTTTTTTCAGATACTTCCATACTGATTTCCATAATGGCTGCACGAATCTGCAGTCCCACCAAAAGTGCACCAGGGTTCCCTTTTCTCCACAACCTCGCCAGCACTTGTTGGTTGATTTATTGATGATAGCCATTCTGACCGGAGTGAAGTGGTATCTCATTGTGGTTTTTATTTGCATTTCTCTAATGATTAGCGAGTTGAACATTTTTTCATGTACCTGTTAGTCATCTGTATGTCCTCTTTAGAGAAATGTCTCTTCATATTTGAATTTTTATTTATGTTTATGAGTTATGTCTAGAAATCAGTAACAATATTCGTATTCAAAATATTGGGTTGTCGGAAAAGTCATGATGTATTTTTCTGTTTTTCATTGCAAAAATGCATCACGACTTTTCCGACAACCCAATAATACCCTGGAATACAATAATCGGTTTTGTTGAACTTACGACGAACTTGAAACAACTAAGAGTTTTTGCCTTCTATAATGTGAAAATATCATAAATTTGTTACCGGTACATACAATTTCTTGTAGCTTGTATTTGTTGTTGTGTTTTGTAATTATTTGTTACCTAAAATTTCTTATACCATAATATGTTAAAAATATTTGCTAAAATTTCTTTAACATACAAAAACAAGTACCTAAATGTAAACAAATAAGAATTTGAATTAAAAAATTAAAACGAAAGATATTTTCCCCTGAAATTTTGGGCCAAAAATTTGGGTGCACATTATACGCAGGAGCGCATTATACACAGGAGTGCATTATACACAGCACAATACGGTACATCAATAGAAAGAAGGCACTTCTGTTTATGCCAGTACCAACATAGTGATGTTAATTGTAAACAATGTTTTAAAATTTTCATTCCAGTAGCCATCAGTCATGTAATGATAACTGCTTTCTTGTTATCTTTGCAAACAGTTCTGTGGGACACACAGTGTTGCCTTGGGCCCAGTCCAAAGGTTATTTTTCCCTGTTTTAGCATCCTAAAGGTTTGAGGCATAAAATGTGCAATGCAATTCCTGTGGCATGGCAGCTCCAGCTCCATTTTAAAGTGGCTACATTTATTTATTTATTTATTTTTGACACATCAAAGAGTCTTCTGTTATGTCAGGGAGCAAACAGGTAAAGAAACTATTATAGTTCAGCATTATATGTACAAATATAGATGTTTGCGTAAAGTGCTTTGG